AATCCAATATATTTAATGGATCTGGTATACAATTATCTACTCGGATATGGTACCCCTAAAGAAATCAACTAAAAGTTTGGCAAAGGCATAACAACACAGCATGACAGCATGAAGTACCTCGTCAAGTGGATTTTCAAATTGAAGATTCACACTCTCAGCATGAGCCCGCATAACAGGAACTCGTATGCATGTGGCAGTTACTTTAACGTCCTTGTCATTCTGTAAAAGAGCAAGAAAATTATAAGGAAGTATTACATAATGCGAAATAAAAATAAAAGAACCTAATAAACAATTTAAAAAGATTCAGTTGCAGCTTACCCATATTTTCCTTGTCTCCTTAACCATTTTCATTTCTTCTTCGTTATATCCGTTTGAAAGAACAGATGCATTGTGCGAGAATAAGTTAAAAGCATACTGCAAAACAACAACTCCATCAGGAAGTAATTCTGGAAATCAATCACAAGAAAGGCGTATCAGAATTGTGCTAACCTGTCGATTAAATATTTTACACGTGGGTGGTTTTCCTTCCAACACCTTTCAGTAAAAAAAGTCCAAAAGAAAATCACGATTAAATACCATAAATAAAACCACTTTCTTCTTCACACAATCTCAATGGTAGGACAGCTCAAACCAAGCTAACAAACTACACAGACAAAGCTTAATCCAAACCTCACGAGTTTGCAGCTCGAGCTCTTCCATTGCAGCAGCACCAGCACCACTGGCAGCCTGATAGGTACTGACAACCATTCGTAACACCTATAGTATTCAAGCATAAAAGCATCACAAGACAAAGCACACGATTACAAAAAACATATAAATCTGCATTATAATAAACTAATATTCTTTCTAAATTTCTAACCCCTGTTCAAAAATCATAATAAATAAACACTTTTAATCAAAAGATCACTTTTAACAACCAACAATATCGTTTTAAAACATTATTGAAATTGAAGAATATTCTGATTTACAATATAAGAGTAGATTGAAAAGGCAAAGTTTGACCTTAGCTCGTCGATGAAGAGGGGTAGCAGCCATCAAGCAAATAATGGTGGAGCAATTAGGGTTCGCAATGAGCGCGCCTTT